CAAAAGACAAGTGTTTGGGGAAAGCAGAGACAAATGAAAAAACAGAAAAGGTTGATGTAAGTGCCTAATGTTTCACAACCTCTATTGTCTGAAAAATAGATGCCTGATGCCACAAAAATGGTGTTCTTTTCTATATCTTTTGGTAAGCAAGATGTTAGGCTTCAAAAGTTCCTTGTCCCTAGGATTTCACTAGGATTTTGTACAAGTGGTCAAAGACTAGCTTTGGGAAGAAAAAAAAAATACAAAACCTGGGTGTTACTGAAAATTTTAGTATCTTGAGGCTGAGGCATATTGGCCAAGCTACTATGGAACAATGTGCCTTAATAATTATTCTGTATATAAGCAGAAGGCATCAGTTTTCAGACATACCCTTGACTTCCAGGCAGACCTGTAACTTTCATCTTGGATGTCTGCCCTTGTGGTTTGTTATTTTACTCTGTAAGAGCACAAATATGCGTCACAGGGCATGAGCTTAACATAAAGGCTAAATGAATTACCACTTGTGTACCACTCTTCAGGTTCATTTCTACTGGGGAACTTTTTGACATACACCATTTTTGAGTCACAAATGTTTAGGTCATCTAGAGGAAAGCGCCTCAAAATTGCTTCCTGTTTCTCAGAGTACTGGTTAATTAGTGAAAGGAGAACTGAACTGAACCAGAGAAGTGAATAATTTTCTCAGGAGGATATCTTCCCTTAGAAAACAGGTGATCTGATAGAGCATTTGCTAAAATAAATGAAAGTGCAAGAACTCTAGATCCAGGAATGTCAAAATTTCCTTTAAAAAATACCAGTGCAAAACCAAAATAAAACATTCTTGATTGGCTTAGGTCACTGAGTATTTCTTCTCGTCCTAAAATCTAAACAAAACAGCAGACTTGAATGTACTTGAAAGATGCACTTGAATCAGAGTTGCTGAGTGCAAAAAGAGGATTTAGTTCTCAAAAAGATGAACTACAAACTAACCTTCCCCTATCACTTGACCATTTTCCTCAAAGTCTCAAAGCATAGAAAACAGCACTTTTAAGGCCTAGATGATTCAAAAGCAGTTTAACAGATTTCCTTCAACTTTTCCAGATTGTTTTTTCCTCTGGGCTAAAAGCAACCATGAGAAAATTCAGCCTAAAAGGTACATTTTTTTAAGAAATTATAACCTGCTGAAAGGGGAAATTTAGACTGAAAATATTTTTCAGCCATAACTATTTCACATCAATCTTTAACACTTTAACTAATGTATTATTAAACTACAATTTATTTTATGAATTATGTATATACAATGTATAAATGCATATAGCAGTGTATATATGTAATGCAGCAGCCAAAAACATGGAAAAAAGTAAGCTTTCTGAATAAGTGTAAGCAAAATATATGTAGACACCCTAGAGATATTATATAACTATTAACAGGAGCCCATCTTTACAAATGAAAGGTTCTGACATTTGCCCAGATCAAAAATCCAATTTTACGGCACTGGGAGATAAGGAATTAAATAGAGTGCAGATATCACCTAAACTGGTATTAAAAGGTTAGCAGTGCTTAAAATTGATTAGTTACCAAGATCAGACAGCAGTCATTCGAGGCTGAGAGAAGAGCATTGGCCAGATGTTGCGGAAGCTTTGGTTGTCATTTTAGCAAACTCTTGAGCTAGACAAGAGCTTTGCAGATTGCAAACTGGGGAGCATTACTGTTACAAGGCAGTCATCCCAGAGTGTTACACAGCAGCAAAGTTAAGAACTGCTGGGGTGAAAAAAAGGCCTGAGAAACCTCTAGAAAGACTTAATGGTTCATATGGACTCTATACATAAGAGAACAAAAATGCTCTGTACAGCAGTCAGGAACTGGTCAGTTTGGGGAAGGAAAGTCCATGAATGCATAAGTCCTTTGAGCACTGATGGACCAGAGGACTAAGAGACATGTCAGGATACAGGAGAATACCATACACCAAATTTCAGACTATGTCAGGTTATGTAAAGATATCCAGTAAAGATCACAGTCTCTCCAAGATCAATCTAAACTACTCACTGCTTTCTTAGCTATCAGCAAGACTGGGGACAAAAAACAAAACAAAACAAAACAACAAAAACCCACATAAAAACTTTAAAGATGGACAAATAGTTAGCACAAAAATGAAAAAGCCAAAAATAGCTACGGACTAGTTATATATTTGGTTGAACATAATGATACAACCCTCGCTGAACATAGATACAGCAAATATATTAGAGCAAATAAATCTCTAAGTATTTCCATGGCAAACTGAAGTTTTGCTATTATGGATCTGCCATAAAGAAAATGTGTCAAAAGCTTATGAATCTTAAGGAAATATAATGAAGCGTCAAAGCACCTATTTACCTTGAAAATACAAATGAATCTAAAACAAAGAAAAACAATAGGAAAGGAAATAAAAGAAGTTATTCTGCACCTGTAGAGAAATCAGGCAGCACTTCAGTAATTAATATTTATTACTTACGGCACCTTTCATACATTGAAAATGCTGAACAAATATGAACTGACTTGTACAACATCTTTACAATACGTGATACACATAATTATGGAAGTTACAGCAGGGGGCTGTCAATGGTATAAAATCCTGGAGATCCTCCCTTGTGGGGAAAAGCAGTGCACCTGAAATGAGGCTGCCACGTAGGGATTGCATAGCACACCTGAGGACAAAATTTACACTGAAACTGAAGAGACAGAATAGAGCAAGAGAAAAAGGCAGGGCAAACTTCCACAGCACATGCAACTAGGATGCTTATAAATGAAAACGGCAGAAGCTGCTTTTGACATGTGACTATTTCCAGGTTGGAGGTAATCGCGTTCACGTTGAGCACAACACCTACAGGCAAAGCCCCACCGGAAAATGGAAAAAGTTGTTTCCCCAACAACACATAGAATCATTAAATGTTCTGAGCTGGGAGGGACTCATAATGATCAAGGCCAGCTCCTAACTCCGCATGGTACAAATTATAGCATCTATCCAAGAGTGTTGTCCAAACACTTCTTGAACAACAGGCCATAACCACATCCCTGAGTAGCTTGTTCCAGGGCTTGACCACCCTCACAGAGATGAACTTATTCCTCATAACAAATCTGAGCGTCCCCTGATGCAGCTTTAAGTCATTGCCTCACATCCTATCACTGGACGCCAGAGAGAAGAGATAAGCATCACCCTCTGCACTCACATTCATTAGGATGTTGTAGACAGCAACTCCTCAGCCTCCTCTTCTCTAAGCTGAACAAACCTAGGGTCCACAGCTGCTCCTGACAAGCCTTGCCCTCTAGTCCCTTTCATCATCTTTGTTGCCTTCTGTTGAACACACTCATCACTCTCATATTTTTCATATGACTCTTAACCACACACAGCTCTCGTGGTGAGGCTGCACCAAAGCTGAGTAAAGGGGCATAAATGCTTCTTTTGAGTGGTTAGTTACACTGTGCCTAATGCAATCTAGGTTGGCCCTTTTGGCCAACAGGACTCAATATTGACTGACACTGAGCTTCCCACCAACAAAACCCAGCAGATTCTTTCTGCAGGGCTGCATTCCAGCCTCTTCTCTCCCAGTCCACTCATACATCCAGGATTACGTAGTCCCAGGTGCAGAATCTGGCATTTGTCCTGATTAAACATCACACAGTTGGTGATTGCCCAGCCCTGTTATCTATCCAGGCTCCCTGTTAGGCCAATCTACCCTCCAGAGAATCAACAGCTTCTCTTTTATGTAGTATCATCAGTAAACTTAGTGTGGACTCAGCTTCTGCATCCAGGCCGTTGACAGAAGCATTGAAGAGAATTGGATCCCAAGGAGTGGATGGCTTTGCTTGTTTCTTTTAATCAGGAGCATGGGGTTAAAGCCAGAGATCACCAATCAGTTCATAGCCTCCACCAGCTCAGCTCTCTGCTTGAGACTGATTTGTTCTAAATCAGCTTTCTTGCAGCTTAGTGTACCAGCCTGCAAAACAGGTAATTCAGAGCCAGATCATCAGCTGTGAACTGGCACAGCTCCACTCAGTTCCCAGTGTCAGGAGGGGGCATATTTGGCCAAAATTAAGTATCAGGCCTCCCTGGTGAGGCAAGCAGAGTGATTTACATCATGACCTGGCTCACGGCATCCACATCTATGTGGAAAGGCACAGATGTGACAGGATGCTGCTCTGATACAGATATTACACAGCTCTTCTTAAGGTGAAGTGGCGGTGCAGCTTCCAGAGGGAATCTGTCATATGCCTAGCATGTGGCTTGTGTCTACAGGGCACCCACCCATACATAAATAATAATTCTCTACATCACAGGAGCAAAGAAGTTTTAATGTCTCCTACTAATTGGGCCTTTACTGTTGACAACAAAGTGTGCTATGTCCAGTCTTATCTGTAAAGTACTGCTGGTTTCAAAATACTGTTTATGTGGGTGCTACAAATAAGTAGAACCTTGCAACACTCTTCTAATGTATGATTGGGAAGAAAATTACAAAGTATAACAAGAACAAACTCTTGACATTCAATTTCATGGAACCAGTCAGAAAATAAATAAACACACACCTGACAGGAAAGCTTCAGTTCACTAATATCAACTGAGCATATGAACTGGACAGACTTCATGATTTTCTGCCCAATTAACACAATTCCAAAATCTCCAGTCAAGGGTTCTCAGCCCAGGGTATTCCTTGGCAGAACCTCAAAACACCCTGCTTGAACAGAGAAACAAAAGAAAAAAATGTTCCTCTTACATGACCTGCCTCCTAGTCTTGACCCAGCATAAAGATTAATGCTTTAGCTGTTCTATTTCCCCTGAGAGTTTTAGTTTTTCACAAGGTCAAAATATAATATGGATTACATACCTACTACAAGAAGAGACTAATATACAGTATGCAATATTAATCATAGGTGATGTTTTCAGAACATAAAAATACAATATCCTCGGAAAACATTCCATATATTTTTCAAAGGACACGAAGAATTCACAACTGATGCAAGCAATGTTTTTTAAAAAAGCAAATTCTTACCTGTCACAAGCTGTTGTCCTGCTAGTCCTACTGGAACCATCCCCAGATTATTCATAGCTGTAGCCCAAGCCGTGGGATCAGTGACTGACATGTTAAGCTGTGTGGTATCTATAGCTATACTTCCCAAACCATCAGCTGCTGCAAGAAAGTAAACATGCTGTAAGTAGAAAAGCCAATGCACAACAATTTTTAACCAAAACTTTCAGTGAAAATTACGTATCACAACCACTGTTTATGTTGGGTTTGTTTTGTTTCCTAATTATGATTCATCTTTAGATCATTGATAATAGTTCTTGGTATCATATAATAGAGCATAAAGACATTGGAAACATTCATAACAGACGTAAAATGGCACAAGGAAAAGAGAAAACTATTTCACCAAGGGGATAGTCAAGAAGTAGAACAGGCTGTGCAGTCACCATCCCTGGCACCTTTCAAGACACAATTTGATAAACCCCTGAACAGCTGGTTCGACCCTATCTCTGCCCTGCTTTAAATAGGAGGTTGGATTGGAGACCTTCTGAGGCCTCTTCCAACCTGAATAAAATGCCCTGCAACACTCTGATAGAACTTAATGATACATAAATAGCTGTGGAACTTGCCTGAAACCTGTGAAAGACCTGTTTTCCGTAAGGTGCAATTTTTTATTTTTGTAAAAGATTTAAGAACACATTATCCCCTAACTACAATGAGCTCAAACAAAATCCATTCACTATTGCAAATAGCAAGTTTTCTTCTAAAACTGAAAAGAAATATCACCAATATGGTCAAAATAGACAGAGCCCAGGTATGGATCTTCCTTTGATGGGGAAGAGTAGGTCAGGTAGTTAAGGGATGGCACCTTTCTGATACTGAAACACCAGACACAAGATGTGATCACACATTTTTACTTCTCCCCTCCTCAGTCCCACCTGAAATCAGCTCTTTTCAGTTATTTTCTTACGGCCTTTGCAGACCCGAGATATTTACCGGCAGCCATTGCTATTCCCTGGATATTTTTTCTTGTGTTAGACTTCTTCAGTTAGGAATAATTCGCTACTGTATTAGCAGCATCTTGAGATGGGATATCACCAAGCACAGGGCCCAGACACAGCTCATTAGGCTCTGAAAGAGAAAAGATGGAAATCAGCTCTGAGTGCCACAGTCAGAACACAACAACAACAACAAGGGGCCGACCTCTTTGGGAGGCACTCGCAGCTCCTGCCCTCTCCCTGCGGATCGCCAGCCCCAGCCCCTGTGCACACATTCCACAGCCTCTCTAGAGGCGTTCCAGCGGGCGCTCGTCCCTGCCTGCTGAACAAACAATACCACGAATGCACCTGTCAGGCCGCTGAAAAGCCCTTCACAAAGTAGGTCTTATCAGTAGCTACACAGCCTCCTCGGCACGAAGGCATCAGCTGAAAGAACATATTAAGGGATGAATACGAATTTTTTTTTTTTTAACTGTTAACAATTAACTGATGTTGCAAGTTTCAAGGAAATAGCCGTCTGTTCTGAGATGGAAAGAGGAAAGAAAATACTATGCAACGACTTACAGAATGGAGCCTGCAGAGATGTAGCAAAGAAAACCTAACAAAGCTGAGGATGATGCCTGCTCCTTAACTAACACTGCACCCGTGGCTCGCAGGGGTTAGTTAGCTCAAAGCAAAAGTGCAGTATCTGTTTCTAGCTAAAACACATTGCTCTCATCAGGTGTCTGTCAGACCATGAATTTTACATAAGGGCAACTTCTTGCTGTTGCTGTCATTGTTTGGGAGGCTCACATTGCTCATCAGAAAGAGGCTGAACAGGTAAGAGGTGTGAGCACTTCCAGCAGGGCCTGAAAACACTGGGCTGAGGATATCACATACACAGGCCCAAGTTACTCTTTGTGCACAAGGTACATGGGACTCTGGGTGAAGGAAGGACAATTTTTTTTGTCTGTCCAGTAGCCTAATGGGTCCAGAGTGATCCAGAGTGTCCAGAGTGATCCACAGTGTCGGGTACCAGGGGCCAGCAACTGGCCAGAAGCTTACAAGTGTTCAGGGAGGTCATTAGCACTGTGCAGGTGAATCTTGGTGACTTGTTCAGCCCTAGAATAGCTGTGCTGACTTTAAAAAACTACTTGAAAGACCATAATTAAGAGGTTTCCAACATGCAGACCTGAAGGATTCATCTTTAGAAAAGACACGATTAACATAATTACACTATATTTTAGCTTAGTACCTCCCACACTTTTCTTTTTTTCATTTGATGTGCATAAAGTACAAGCCAGAAAGTTTTATGGTTTAGTTCCATGACACTGTACACATCATTTCATAGGAACATGACCAAATCAATGGCAGTAAAAGTATGAAAAAGGCAGGCTCAGACAATGATCTACATATTTTTGTAAGTTGTAATTTACAAATAACCAGCATACTAGTTGAAAAAGCATTTTGTTCAAATCTACAGTGGGTCTACTTAAAAATCAGTATTTATCAACCCTTAATATTTGAATTTGCAATTCCCGTTCTTATTTGATCTCCACTATTCATTATACATAACATAAAATATTTGTATCATAAAATTAGCTTTTAAATAACATCTATAAACACCAAACAAACACTAAATGGAAGTCCTCTGCAGGGAATGTGACTATAACATAAGGCAAGGCAGCCAAGATTTATGTCAAGTTTTTAAAAACTGGGTGTCTCCTGTTCAGCTCTTTAAACTTGTACTTAGCCCTTTCCACTGAGGCTATAAACTCCTGACCACAAACATCTGTTTTGAGGTTAGGGCTGGCTGAATTATTCCTTGTCAATGAGTTATTTCTCACACAGTACAGCCCTCCTTGCTCTTTATGAATCACTGCCAAATCAATCCCGATTTACAATTTTATATTCTGAATAGCCCAGATGAGAGTGGTTCACCTCTTCCCCTGACCAGAAGCCTTGTTGCCTTGAGGAAGAAAGGAGCATTTAAAAACCAGCAGTGATGAAATGCCTCTTCATACCTTGCTGTGTGCTACTTGCTTGTCCCCATAAAGCATCACCACAATTAATGGGGAGGAAGGAGGTATTGCCCCATGGTTTTATGGCAAAGGCATCTCAGATAGGCATGGATTGCTGGGATAAGAGGAAGAAAATGGGTGTTGGACTCCCTCTCCCATCCCCCTTGCCCACATTTTACTGTTTGGTGCAGTGTGTTCCAGGCGACAGGTCTGCTGCTGAACACTACACACTCTCCTGCCCAAGCCCACACTGCAGTTGCACCTGTTCTGCCAGAAGTGCAGCAAACACACCTCAGTCTACTGGGAATGACTTTCTGGTGTTTGCCTTCTGACATGTTGTTCACATATTTCAAACTTTGGTATACTTTCATGAATTATCTACAAGTATTTGTTAAAGTCCTTGCAGAGGAAGTAGAACATAACACCATTAATATGAATGAAAGCAGAATCAGTAGCTTAAATTGGTGAAACTCAGGGTGCACTATACCACCAGGTCTGCCCAATATCCAAAGATGTCTTTGCTCGAAATACACTCTTGTAGCCCACCCTGGCTTGGGGCAGCTTTGCTTTCTCTCTGACCATCAGGTCTACTGTTTCATCAAAAGTACCTCGATGCAGTGCAGGGTGAACCAGGGGAAAAGCCATAAAAGAGAACGTGAGGAGCCTAAAGTGGAACTAGTTCTATCTAACCAAGAACTGCTTCAGGCTATTTTGTCAGTGGAAGAGAGTTGAATAACAAGCATAAACGAACCTATGAACACTGAATAATTTGCAGTAAGCTGTAGGCAGAACTAATGCTCCATCCTGAAGGACACAGACTGTAGAAACTAGCTCTTTTAAAAAGAAAAATACTAATTGTGAACATCCCTTCTAGTGACAACTCAGTGGTTACATTAACACAGAGCAACACAATAAGGCAAAAATAGTCTCACAGGCATTTCATACCTGATTTAGACTCAAACATTAGGTTTTGTTTAAAAACTTCTGAAAAATTGTATAGAGAAGGTTTCATTAATGCTTAAAATAAAATCAGCTTTGGGCAAATTTCAGCATTTCTTTGTGTAGCTCAGACACTGCACTATTATACCCTTCATGACACTGGAAACAAAACAAGCAAGGAAAACAAAGACGCTGTCTAAGTCATATAAAAAGCAAGATCCTAAGTTTGATGAGAAATACATCTACTAGCAAAGATTCTTGCTTTCTTAATAATACATTGAATCACAGTTACTAGTTAAACAGGCAAGAAAGTGTAAGCTTATGCAGAGATCTTGTGTAACCTGAGCAGACATTAAGCAACACCATTTCACTGATATCACACCTTTAGAGAGCATTCCTGATTTACAGTTCACTAGTACTTCTCCAGGCATTAATGACCTGAAGATATATGTAAAAGAAATCTGTTTTTATAAACACTTGGGCATGGAAGTAGCTCTACTCCAGGGGAGTAACTTCAGAAGCAAATAAAACCATAATCCTGATTTACAGGAGAAATGTATAAAATATTCTGGGCCCTGCTATTCCTTGATGTTTGGGAGAGGCAGGGACATTAATAAAAATAATAATTTAAGAGCTTCTGATTAACAAAATTTTGATGCCAAATATTTTTTAAGGCGATTTCACTTTATACTTTTTTGGTGGTCTCTCTTTTTGCAGATACCATGCATGTACCAGTCCTTGGATGGTGAATTGCAAGAGACATTTAGACTTCCCTCAGACAGGTTGTCAGGAAGATAAAGCACCCTCGAGTCCATACCAATGAGCACTTCTCAGTCATAGCAGATTGTACTTAGTGCACATATTTTATACCAGGCAATTAAATGCAGTTACCCAAATGAATACAGAAGTCGGTTATATATTGTGCATCAATTATCACAGGCAATGAATGCCATGAGACAAAGAAATTAACACAACATAAAACTAATTCAATAACAGCAGATTGTGAAGTTAAAATCCTACCCTTTAGATATCCATAACACCACAATGAGTTACAACACAGTGAAGCTGATTAAATGCACCATTGTAACAAGGCTCTGTGGAGCACCTGGGTCAGCAGCCAGCCCTGGGGTGCAAGGAGGAGTTTCTCTGCCCAACTCTGACATCGACCTGCTGAGTGACCTTCAGTTATTTCAGCTCTTTGCCTAATTTTTGTGACCACTAAATCCTTCAAGGAAAAGACTAATAGCATCAGCCTTTTGAAAGCTGGGAGTACAAGTCATTAAATGCTATTGGTGCTGATTCTTGAGGAAATACAGATGGGAAGGAGAAATGTGGAATCCTGTGAACTGTTACATCTAGGTGAGTTTTCCAGCTCTTAAAAGAATGGCAATTCCAAAGTGTTTGTTACTATTCACTGTGATTCATAGGACAGTGGCCATTAGGTTGGTCACACTCCACCTGACCTGCCAAAGTACAGGTCATTTATCAGGCTACCTCCAGCTGTCTTCTAAAATATATCAAGCATTTTGTACTGGTTCTTCCCAGTGTTTTTGTTTCTCCAGCTGCATGCAGGATTCCCAGTAAAGAAGGGAGAAATGGCAAGAAAAGCTAGACAAGGATATACTGTAAGTCACTGTTCATTTCTTTCTGACCATCTTACGATGAAGAAAGATGGGAGTAGCAGCAATGAAAATGATATTTTTTTGCCATAGCCATCCTACCTGGGCTACATGAAAAAAAGAGCATCTCCAACGTGAATCCAAAGACGGCTTTTAAAAATATTTTTATAGTATTGCATATGCAGTGTTACGAGAGGGGGCATTGTTTTGCATGGTTAATGGTATGCAGACACCTAGAAAACATCACCCAAATTCACAATTCAAAATGAATTCAAGGAAAACACATTTCTTGCAACAATTTCCAAAAAAAGCATTTACTACAGCAAGTAAAAAATTACATCATGTTCTAAAGCCTTTTTGGAACCAAATCTTTTTTTTCTGGGAGGGGATCCTAACTTATGCATCTACTGTATGCTTCACCTCCCTGCAGCTCTACTGCAAGGACCAGTTGGTTTCCAGCATCTCCAGAATCACCCTGTTTATGTGGATTTTTCTGCCACATCTCCCTCTTACAGAAGGCCTTTGAAAGCAAAGATTAATTTTGCAGGAACCAGCACTTTCCTTAAGAAAACAGC